TGTAGAGGAGACATGAAGAAGAGGGGACACATGTTGATGTAGAGGAGACACGAAGAAGAGGGGACACATGTTGATGTAGAGGAGACATGGGGAAGGGGACCTTGATCGATAGGGGACTCTTTAATTGTGTCCAAAGAGCTTCAGGAAGAGTTCTTCCAAACGTTGACTCCTCGTTCTCCTCCACCTGTCTCAGGACTCGTCTCAGACGCTGAGCTCGCCCTGAAGCTCAGAGAGTCGGACGACATCATCAAGTCTCCAGAAACCATCATCGCCCCCCCGCCGGCGCAGAGGAGGCGCTGCTTCACTTCCTGCTTCCTGTCCAGCGAGGAGTTCCGCTTCCTGTTGCTGCCGGACTTCCTGTGCCTGGCCGTGTCCTTACCTGTTCCTGGCCAGCGGTCTGCAGCCTGCCCTTCGTGTACCTGGTCCCCTACGCGCTGAGCGCCGGCGTCAGACACCAGCAGGCGGCGTTCCTCATCTCCATCCTCGGGGTTCTGGACATCGTGGGGAACGTCACCTTCGGGTGGCTCACCGACAGGAGGTACGGGGGGGGGGGTTGGGGGGTAACAGGTGACAAGTAACGGGATGACGTCATCAGGATACACAAATCGGTCTCACTTTGTAAATAAAAGTTGTCAGTTTGTTCAAAATAAGTCGTCACTGCCCAGCATGCTACGCGCTACGTGCTAACTTAAAGGGGACCTATCATGCAAAATGCACTTTTGTACGTCTTCTCTACATGAATATGTGTCCCCGGTGTTCCAGGGAACTCACCAAGTGTCAGAAAACACAACCCTCTCTCTTTTCCTCCATACCCAAATCTCTAAAAAAGGGTTTGCAACGGATCTGATACAGACTGATCCAGATTTGAACACTTCTATGACGTCACAGAAGTGGCGCTACGGCTATTGGGCCAACTCCACCAATCAGGAGGAGACAGCCACGGACATTGCCGTTGGAAAGCGCTGGAGACGCTGTAGTACATATGCCAGGCCTGTAGATGGTGCTGTTCTCACAGAATCAGCCCATGATGCAAAGACAGTGTTACATTGAGCTAAATGAGGAATGGCTAAAATGCATGATCTGTTTGGTATTTTGAAAAATAAAAAGTATAAACATGCCTTATATAGGTATGGTGCTACACTATGTTATTCAGATATAGCATGATAGGTCCACTTTAACATAACAAAGATGGCATTTCAAATGTTTACATATTATGACTTTCTTCTTCCTAAAGTCCTTCTGCTACGAGCCAACATTAGAAACCTTTTCTTAAGAGACCTTGTCTTGTGTCCCAGGTGTCTGAAAGCGTACCGGCTGCCGTGCTACGTGCTAGCGGTAGCGATGGAGGGTCTCTGCTGCCTCTTCGTCCCGCTGCTGCGATCCTTCCAGCTTCTCGTTCCCTTCGCTGTTCTCTACGGATACTTTGACGGCGCCTACGTGGCTCTGATCCCGGTGGTGATCTCGGACGTGGTCGGAGCGCCGTACCTTTCCTCTGCGCTCGGAGTGGTTTACTTCCTGCACGCCATCCCCTACCTGCTCAGCCCGCCAGTCGGAGGTGAGACACGCAGATTAGCTTTAAACCAGGGGGCCATTTTGAATCATCCCTCAGCAAATTCACAAAGTATAATGTGGGCCGTATATAATGGAATGCGGCCCACAAAAGAAACTTGTATTGTACTTAAATATAGATGAAAACAGATATTACACAGTCGTGTTCATGTGTTAATAAGAACACCTTCAGTCCATTCAAGTTGAAAACATGTTCTAACAAATCTAACTTGATAAGAAAAAAGCCCAATAATACATTCACATAACAAGCTAGAAATACCCTTCATGTTTCCTCTTATTATCATCATCAATCTGAAGCTTCTGTTGTAAGGAACGAGCTGCCAACAGAGCACAGTGAACCCTCTGTAGGCTGCAGCATCATTCACCTTCTAACTGAACCTATGAGGCAGTAAACCTCTAGTGAGTGGCCCAGCCCTTCCTATGTTTTTCTGTGTGTGGCCCTCTGTGGAAAAAAAAGGTTTGGACCCCCCTGATTTACACGTACGGTGTGTTCAAGGACTGTCCGACTTCTGAGGTTCAACATCACTGGCACATCTGTTGTTATCCTTTTGTGGCATAAGCCGTTTTCTACAGACACATTTGATTTGTCATTATGATTCTACTTGTGAACGTCGGACAGGTATTGATTCCATCCGATAGCTGCTATAATACAAAACAACAGGAACATGTCTGTCTCCACAATGATCAATAACAGCGAACGAATGGTCATTAAAGTAAAGTACAAATAAACAGAATCACACGAAGCCTGGTTAATGGTGCGGTCGCGCTCTACGTACGTTAAATGCGTACGTTGTTACCTGACCTAATTGACCTGCTAGTTTAAATAAATATGTTTTACAGAACTACGTTTTCACACGTAACTTAAACATGTCTGTATGCTGACGTGAGTATGTGACTTAATTAATGTCGTTAAAATAAGTATTTTTTTGATGTTTCCTAAGGAACCTCAGTTAAAATCATATAAAGTTATAAATGAATGTTTATACAAACGCCCTCTCTTCCTGCAGGTTGGCTCGTTGACATCACAGGAAGTTACTCTCCGACGTTCTTCCTCAGCGGCGGCGCCCTGCTGGCCAGCGCCGCCGTGATCTCTGCGATCACAGGGATCCGACGCTGCCGCCGACACCTGAACGCCTCAGAGGACAAGCCACGCCCCCTCTGCCTGCCCGACCAATCAGAGCGCCCCGTCAGTCCAGCCGGGGCCACGTAGCCTCGGGGGGGAAATGGGATTGAATCCAGACGACGACTTTAAACCCTGAGAAACTGGTTGGGTTTCTGTAACGATGGACGTCTAAATGGATTTAACGAGGGTCTTAACGAGGGTCTTAACGAGCAGGACGACTCGCCTTAGAGGAACTATGAGAGAGTTTTTGATGGCAAACTGAAGTTCTCCTCGTCTGAAGAAACGGAGATAAATGAATAATTAAACCAAATGTTCTCATGTTTTTAATTATTTAGAGAAACTGATGAAATGTGTTTTTGTTTGAAACCTTAAAACTCCGGGTGGATTATTTCAGAGGAATATCCACAGAGCAGATTGAACAAAACGACTTTAAATGAGACCGGTTTGTTTTGAGCTTTATAAAATATAGTGGTTTAAATAAATAAAAAATTGGGAAAAATTTGATTTTTAATAACATTTTGAAAAAGATAAAAATTAAATACTAAATGAATAAATAACACATTCTTTACAAAAACATTTCTGTATTTGATTTAGTTTGAGAAGCTGCTGTTGATGAAATGTCTCAGGGTTTGATCCCAGGTATCTATGAGCACAGGTACGCCAGGTGAACACGGGTACGCAGGGTGAACACAGGTACGCCAGGTGAACACAGGTGCGCCAGGTGAACACAGGTGCGCCAGGTGAACACAGGTACGCAGGGTGAACACAGGTACGCCAGGTGAACACAGCTGAGCACAGGTGAACACAGGTACGCCAGGTGAACACAGGTACGCCAGGTGAACACAAGTGCGCCAGGTGAACACAGGTGAGCCAGGTGAACACAGGTACGCCAGGTGAGCACAGGTAGCGCAGGTGAACACAGGTACGCCAGGTGAACACAGGTACGCCAGGTGAACACAAGTGCGCCAGGTGAACACAGGTACGCCAGGTGAACACAGGTACGCCAGGTGAACACAAGTGCGCCAGGTGAGCACAGGTGAGCACAGGTGAACACAGGTACAACACAAGTGCGC